GCAACCTTTTTTAAAAAAGATTTTATTTGAGAGCACACGCACGTGCGTGTGCATGCACACGAGCGGGGGAAGAGGGAGAGGCAGGCTCCCCGCTGAGCAGGGAGCCCGATGCGGGACTCAATCCCAGGACCCCGAGATCATGACCTGAGCCAAAGGCAGACGCTTAACCAACTGAGCCACCCAGGCGCCCCATGTATCTAGCAATCTTGATGTGCTGTCCTGTTAATACTAATTGTTTGTGGCTCTGTTGGATTTTCAATATAGACAATCCTATTTATGACGGCTCCAGTTCTTTTAAATTCTTATACCTTTTACTTATTCTTATCTCACTGCATTGCTGTGCCCTTTGCTCTCCAGTGTGGTGTTAGAGACACAGGGACTGTGAGCGTTTTGTCTTGTTCCTCCCTTTATCAATCACTGTGATGTTTGGTGTAGCTATTCAGTAGTTTTTCCCATGAGGTTAAGGAAGTTCCTGTATATATCTAACTTCCTAAGGATTTTTTTTCGTGATATGAATTGAAATTTTCTCTGTGGCAGAGAAGGTTCAAAACAGCGAAAGGAAAACCAACAAATCATTGAAGTAGTAGTTTCTAAAAAATTATTGTATACACACCAAAAAGACAGTTTGCAAACTGGGAACATTCAGACCAGACTGTGGGATGAGGCTCAGGGATATATTTGTGATCAAGCTTCATAGTGAGAAAGCCGTGAGGATTTATTTTTCAGGGACTGGTCACAGTATTACAATTTTCGGTGGTTCCCTCTTATCAGCCTTGAGAAACAGTTCAAAGCTTGCTTACTCTTTCCAGAGACACAAGCAAGAGATAATCCAGGTCAAGTTAGCCTTGTAAAATAAACTGAATTCAGCGTTGTTTGTATGACTGACCTGGTTTTGTCTGCTCAGGGAATTTGCAAGGTTGGTCTCCATTTCTGATTTTAACAGCATCTGTGGAAATAAATGTACAGTTTTTCTCCTTTAATATCTTAATATGATTTCCTAGTATTACGTAGTTCCTGCTAGATTATCGTGTATTTTGTGAACACCGTTAGATTTGGTTACTATGATTTCTGATTTTCACATCTATATGAATGAATGAAATGAGCTTACAGTATACTCTGCTTGGTTTTGCTTGTTTTTAAACCATACAGACCATGTATCTGACTTCTTTTGCTCAAGGTTATATTATAAGATTCACTCATACTGTTATATGTAGCTGCATGTGGTTGGTTTGTTTTTGTTGCTACACAGCATCAAGGGTAAACAAAGCCAGGCTGTGGTTAAGGTGGTAAGGACACTACTAGGTATTTATCCAAAGGATACAAACATAGTGATTCAAAGGGGCACATGCATCCCAATGTTTATAGCAACAATGTCCACAATAGCCAAACTGTGGAAAGAGCTCAGATGTCTGTCGACAGACGAATGGATAAAGAAGATGTGTATATACAATGGAATACTACTCAGCCATCAAAAAGAGTGAAATCTTGTCATTTGCAATGATGTGGATGGAACTAGAGGGTATTGTGCTAAGCAAAATAGTCGGAGAAAGACAAATACATGATTTCACTTATATGTGGAATTTAAGAAACAAAACAGATGAACATAGGGGAAGGGAGGGAAAATAAGATGAAATCGGAGAGGGAGACAAACCGCAAGAGACTCTTAACTCTAAGAAACAAGCTGAGGGTTGCTGGAGGGGAGAGAGGTGGGGGGATGGGGTAAGTGGATGATGGGCATTAAGGAGGGCACTTGATGTGATGGGCAGTGGGTGTTCTATGCAACTGATGAATCCCTAAACTCCATCTCTGAAACTAATAATACACCATATGTTAATTGATTTTTAAATAATAAATAGAAAGTGGTAAGGGCAGATTTTAATCAGTAACATACTGTTGCAATAGGAAAGAGTCCAGCGTGAACCGAACTCTGCTTTGGTTTGTACAGAGGTGACTGGCTAATTTAAGGGAGAGTGAAGGAGGGGGGAGGGAGGGAGTGAGGCTCAGGGGACTGGGGGAGTGAACAATTACAGGAAGGGTAGGGGATGTGGTCTGTGTGAGACCCATCTGGGTTTGCTAACTGGCACTTATTAAAGTTAGGCTCCTACCCTTCCCGGGAGACTGGGAGGCAGGGGTCCTATCTTCACGTGTTGGCTGGGACAAACAGAAAGTTCTTTTGGTAGCCTTGAGTTTTTTCAGGCAGGCACTTTAAGGGGAGCTGGGGTCAGCCTCAGCCTGTGGCCTTTAGCTGTTTCTAAAGATGTCTTAAAGGTATCTTCAGATGTCTGAAGTTTTTGTTACTGTTTTTTTCACCCATTGAAAAACTCTGGATACAAGTCTTTTGTTACTTGTGTTGCAGATTTTTTTCTCACTCTGTGCCTTGCCTTTTCACCTTTTTTTTTTTTTAAGATTTTATTATTTTATTTTATTTTTTATTTTTAAAAGATTTTATTTACTCATTTGATAGAGAGATGGAGAGCCAGAGAGCATAAGCAGGGGGAGTGGCAGAGGGAAAAGGAGAAGCAGGCTCCCCGCTGAGCAGGGAGCCTGAGGTGGGGATCGATCTCAGGACACTGGGATCATGACCTGAGCCAAAGGCAGATGCTTAACTGATTGAGCCACCCAGGTGCCCCAAAGATTTTATTTATTTGAGAGAAAGAGAGAGCGAGCATGAGCATGAGCAGGGGGAGGAGCAGAGGGAGAGGGACAGACTCCCCACTCAGTGGGGATTCTGACTTGGGACTTGATCCCAGGACCCTGAGATCATGACCAGAGCTAAAGTCAGATGCTTAACTAACTGAGCCACCTAGACACCCCTACCCTTTCACCTTCTTAATGTTGTATTTTAATGAGAAAAGGTAGACGTTCTTAATTTTTTAATTAACATAAAATGAGTTATTTGTTTCAGGGGTACAGGTCTGTGGTTCATCAGTCTTACACAATTCACAGCGCTCACCATAGCACATACCCTCCCCAATGTCCATCACCCAGCCACCCCATCCCTCCCGCCCCCACCACCCCAGCAACCCTCAGTTTGTTTCCTGAGATTGAGTCTCTTACAGTTTGTCTCCCTCTCTGGTTTTAGACTTTCTTAATTTTAATAGGATTAGGTTTGCCCATATTTTCTTTTTTGGTTAGTGCTTTCTTATGTCTTTTTAAAAAAGAAATAGACTTTATTTTTTAGAGCAGTTTTAGGTTCATAGCAAAATTGAGCAGAAAGTACAGAGATTTCCTAAGTCCCTCTGTCCCCCCACAAAAGCGTTGCCTCTCAGACTATGCTCAGCCCCCACCAGAGTGGCATTTTTGTTACAGTTGATGAGACTAATTTAATACCTTGTTATCACCTGAAGCCCAGAGTTTACAGTAGGGTTAGTGTTGTACGTTCTCTGGGTTTTGACAAATTTATAGTGACATGTGTCCATCATGACAGTATCATACAGGATAGTTTCACTGCCCTAAAAATCCTGAGTGCTCTGCGTATTCATCCCTCCTTCCCCACTAACCCCTGGCAACCACTAATCTTTTTACTGTCTGTACAGTTTTGTGTATTCAGGAATGTCCTATTGTTGGAACCGTATGGTAGGTAGACTAAAATTGGCTTCTTTCACTTATATTAACTCTCCTCCATGTCTTTTCCTGGCTTGATAGCTGTGTGTGTGTGTGTGCATGTGTGTGCACGCACGCATGCTCAATACTATTCCATTGTCTGGATGTGCTACGGTTTATCCATTCACTTATTTAAAGACATCTTCTTTGCTTTGAACTTTTGGCAGTTATGAAAAAAGCTGCTATAAACATTTGCGGTCATAGATTTTCAGTAATTCGGGTAAATACCAAGGAGCAAGATTACTGATAAGAGTATGTTTAGTTTTGTTAGAAACTGCCCAACTGTCTACCAAAGTGACTACCATTCTGTGTTCCCACTGGCAATGAATGAGAATTCCTGTTGCTCCACATCCTCACCAGCATTTGGTGTTGACTGTGTTTTGGATTTTTGACGTTCGAATAGGCTTGTAGGGGTCTCGTATTTGTCGTTTCAATTTGCATTTCTTTGATGACATGACATGGAGCATCTTTTCCTGTGCTTGTTTGCCACCCGTATCTTCTTGGGTGTGCTGCATCTGTTCATATCTTTTGCCCATTTTTAAATCAGGTTGTTTGTTTTCTTGTTGATTTTAAGAATGATGTCTTGGGGGTGCCCAGCTGGCTCAGTCAGTGGAGCATGTGACTCTTGATCTCGGGGTTGTGAGGTTGAGCCCCATGTTGGGTGTAGAAATTACTTAAAAAATAAAATCTTAAAAAACAATGATGTTTTGGATAACATCCCTTTTTAGGATTTATGGATAAGGCTCTCTGTTCCTGTTCACATTCCTCCCAACTTTGAGGACATCAGTCATACCGTGTGCCCTGGCAGGGGCATTAGAACCTCAGTTCTTGGGTTTGAGTCTGAATTTGGGTCTAAAGTTCCATGAGGCATTTAGTATGAGCTCACTCTGGCTTTGATTTCTCCCCTCCCCACTTTTTTGGACCTCAGAGAAAACTTCCCTTAAATCAAAGATACAAAGTTTCCCTACCCCTTAAGGAGATGTGTGGGAATGGGTATGATGGGGCAGGAGAGCCATGTGGCAGCCTAGAACAGTGGGACTATATGCCTTGAGTTTTATTTTTTCTTATTTTTTCAAGATTTATTTATTTGAGAGAGAGCGTGTGCTAGTGGAGGGGGGCAGAGGGAGAGGGAAAGAGAGAATCCCAAGCAGACACCCCGCTGAATGTGGAGCTGGACACAGGCTTCATCTCACGACGCTGAGGTTATGACCTGAGCCAAAACTGAGAGTTGGACGCTTCACCGACCGAGCCACCCAGGGACCCCACATGCCTTGTTTTAAACTGACAATATCACCCAGCTGCCAAACAAACATATGTTGAGGATGGTGCAAGTATTCCAAGTAGTTTGATCGTATGTTCCTTTGCAAATACGGTTATTAAATACTTTTCCTTTCTAGATGTGCGTTCCAAACGGGAGTATGACGAAAGCCATGTGATTACAGCCCGTCGGGTGAAGAAGGTAGAGTGGCAGAATCTGAATGTGGGGCAGGCTGGCCCCCTTACAGGAGGGTGGGGGGAGATGGGGGATTTTATCCTAGATCCAGGAGGTGGCAGGGTGGGGGACACTGAGCAGCAGAGGCAGGACCACCCCTGTGCATTCACCAAGAGGGTCTCCCACACCCCTCACATGCTCCCTACGGTGTCCCCACCCCCCATCATGGCCAACAGCTTCGCTGAGCAAATGCTGATTTAGTTTCCTGATGGGCCAGGCACTGTTCCAGACCTTGGGGGATACAACCGAATACAAGATGCCCTCGGCTCGCTGTCTTCTGTCCTACTCAGGGAACAGACAGTAATAAACCATCAAGATAATTACTATAATCCAGCCTGACTCGGACTCAAGGGCAAGCAACTCTTGATCTAGGGGTTGCAGGTTTGAGCCCCATTCTGGGTGTAGAGATTACTTAAATAAATAAACTAACAAAAAACTATAATCCAAAGATGGAAGCCACTTTCCTTCCCTTCCCTATTTCCCTGCTCCTCCCCCATTCCATCTTTTTAAAAGAAATTATTTACTTAAGAGAGAGCGCAAGCACACAAGCAGGGGGAGGGGCAGAGGCAGAGGGAGAAGCAGGCTCCCCGCTGGCGGGGCTCGGTCCCAGGACCCCGGGATCATGACCTGAGCCGAAGGCAGACGCTTAACCGACTGAGCCACCCAGGTGCCCCTTATTCCACCTTTTTTAAAAAGACTGAGCCCTGCACGCAGTCACCATGCCCCCCTCCTGCCCTGAGGCCTCTTTCCCCGCCTCCACAGGATATCATCTCTGTCAGGTCATCGCCAAGCCTGGCGGCCTCCGCTCAGGATCCCGACCTCATTCTCCGCCCTCTTCTCCCAAGGTCTGTCTTCCTCGGTTTCTCCTCTGTGTCCTTGGTTCAGCTTCCTTTTCTCCTGCTGCTGCCTGAAGAAAATCACTGCTTCATCCTTGCTCTAGATCTGTCAGTGTACCTTCTTGCTCAGAGATTGCACTCAGGCTTCCAGCGTCAGCTGTCCAGCTGAAATTAGCTGTCCTGTCAGTTTTTTACTTCTAAAGTTTTGTCTGGCAACACTGACCCCTTCCCCTCCCACTGCCGCTGTGCTGGGATGCACTCCATCTCTGGCCCTTTGCCATGCTGAACTTGACAGGGAGCCTGGGCCCTGGCTCAGGCATTTTTCCAAGATAAGCTTGCTGCTTGGGGGGTATAGCTCAGTGGTTAGAGCATTTGACTGCAGGATAAGCTCGCTGCCTAACACCCCCCTCTCCCCACCCCAAACCCACATTACCTGCTTCTCCCCGCCCCACTTCTGGGGTTTTCAGTTGGCTGGCTTCAACCTCTAGTTTCTGGCTCTACTCTCATATCTGCATATTCTTTTGATTCTGGCAGCACCCCCAGCTCTGGAAGAGACATTCTTTGGGCCTCAGCCAGGCTGACACCTCTTGGCTCCCCTCCCCAACTTCCCTGCCAACAGCCCCAGCACGGCCCCAGCAGGACACACAGCCCCCAACTGGGTGCTCCTGGCCTCCCTCTCCAGCATGCATGCTTTTTTTTTTTTTTTAAAAATTTTATTTATTTGAGAGAGACAGAGAGACAGAGAGAGTACAAGCAAGGGGAGGGGCAGAGGGAGAAGTAGACTCCCAGCTGAGCAGGGAGCTCGACATGGAGCTCCATCCCAGGGCCCTGAGATCATGACCTGAGCCGAAGGCAGATGCTTAAGTGACTGAGCCACCTGGGCGCCCCGGGCATGCAAACTTCCATTCTCATCTGGCACCTCAACAGTACTGCCCTACTGTGTTTCCTTGGTTCTAAGATGCACATATCCACCCCCCCATATTCAAACATTTCTGAAATTGCAACATATCCTACAATAGGTGTGTACTTTATTATTTTTTTTTTAAGATTTTATTCAAGAGAAGGAATGAGTGAGAGAGCAGCAGTGGGAACGGGAGGGGGGAAAGGGAGGCAGAAGCAGACTCCCCACTGAGCAGGGAACCTGATGTGATGCATGGGCTTGATCCTGGGACCCCAGGATCATGACCTGAGCTGGAGGCAGATGCTTAACCGAGTGAGCCACCCAGGTGCCCCAACCAATTCTCTCAATCTAGGACAGAGTACCTGTGCACACCCCCACCCCCGCCCCATGCCAGTGCACTGCTCTCTCAGGCCTCCAGACCTTTTGCTGGGAGCACAGGGATGCATGTGCCTTGCTCATCACCGTATCCCGGAGGCTCCATCTGGTCCTTGAGGCATCTGGGATGGGCTCAGCATGTTTATTGACTAAAGTGAACCGGAAGCTGTTCCTTCTGCCTGGAACGTTCTCCCCACTCTTGTCCGTCTGGCAGATTTCCCCTCACCCTTGCCGCCCCAGCTCCAATCCTTCCCACTCTGTACAACCTTTCTGAGTCCTCTGGGCCAACTCGGGGTGTTTGCCTGTGCTGCTTTGAACCTCTGTATTCCAGAACCTCACACGGCGTAAGCATAGGGTGGACCCTCAACGTATACTTATTGAGCAAACAAGTCAATGTCCAGCCACATCTGTCCTGCCCTCCCACTTGCTCCACGTCTCCACTCCCTTCCCCTTTGCTCCTGTTCGTCTCCACACCCAGAAACCCCGCTTCCCTCATTATCCATGCAAACCCTGCTCGTCCTGAACACCGGCTCTCTCCTAGTTCCTCCAGACAAATGGGATTCCTCCCTGCTCAGTCCCAGAGAACTTTCTGGTTTGTCTCTCCACAGGCCTTGCTTGACTGCCTTGTAGCAGAATCGATATAAACTCGCCCTACCCCACCTGCAGGTCCTCTGTGGGGCCATCTCTGTCAGCCAGACAAGGTTGCAAGGGACAGAGTCAGGCTCGGGATCCCCTTAGTAGTGGGGGCCTTCGGGAAGCATGTAAATGCGTGAAGACTGACCTCTCAGCCGCCACCCAGCCAGGCCTCCTCGAGCTCTGGGACACCCTTTGGGGTCCTGGGCATTGTTCCTGCCCACGTGGTCTGCCTTCCTGGCAACTCAGCAGCTCCTGGCTACTCATGACGTCCTGGTTTCTGCTTGCCCTTTCCTCCCTCTGACCGTATTTATAGCCACATGCCAGGTACTATTCTAGAAGCTCAGAGTACATCAACAACTACAAAAGAACAAAAGTGCCTGCTCTCAACAGAGCCTACAGGTGAGTCTGCTGCATTATATCCGCTTGCTCGTGATTTCTGCTTATCTAAGCCTTCTGCTTATTGCCCTTCTTATGGCAGGTTTTGGATTTGGCCTCCATCACCAACTACCTTCCCCTAGAGAGAGGATGTCCTCACTTTGGTTGCTCTGAGAGCATGCATGCCACGCCCCTAGTGGGCCACGGGCCGCTCGGTAGACCAGCTCTTGGGTGAGGACACCGTCTCTGGTCCGGTCAGCTCTGGCCAGCTTTGTCCATAGCAGGTCATGTGGGCGTGGAAGGTGCTCGGCGTCCAGCACACTCTCCGGTCCCTTCTCGGTGCTTCTGGGCCTGTGTGTGTAGTCAGGGGAATGGGCACGGTCCTCCCTCCAGCTGCACCCAGGGCTGGAGTGCGGGGAGTATGTGCCCAGCTGAACCACCCGCCAACAGACCTCTCCTGTGGTTTCTTTAGAGGGCAAATGAGTATCTTCTCCTGGAGTCTGTGGATCTGGAGTGCGTGAAATACTGTGTGGTGTATGATAACAACACCAGCACCCTGGAGATCGCCTTAGGAGGGGAGGACGAGGACAACACTGAGGATAGGAGACACGGTAGGTTTTTAGGAGCGCGGCCGGAACAGCAGCTGGTGGTGATGGAGCCCTTTCGCGGTACGCCAGGAACCACACCGAAGGCGCTCCCTGGGTCAGCTCCTATAGAACACGCCCTGGAGAAATGGGTTATGCCAAGAGCAGGGGAGGGACTGAGATGTTTCTTTCCTTGCAAAATGCCAGGTGAGTCTGCCACAGCCTCATGGGTGCTGGCAGAGGACGTGAGGCTCCCGGGTCAGAGCCGTGAAAGTAGCCAGACTGTCGTCCTCTCCTTGCCCTGGTGCCTGAGCCCCCATTCTCACAGGGTGACAGGAAGAGGGCCAAGAAAAACCTACCCCTACTGTGGGTTGTATTACAGGAGAACCCTGAGCTTGGGGGACCGAATCTTCTTTCTTTTTTCTTTTTTTAAAAAAGACTTTATTTGAGAGAAAGCATAAGCACAAATGGGGAGAGGCAGAGGGACCAGCAGACTTCCTGCTGAGCGCGGATGCGATGCGGGGCTCGATCCCAAGACCCCAAGATCCTGACAGCCGAAGGCAGATGCTTAGCCAACTGAGCCACCCAGGTGCTCCCAGGGCCTGAATTTTTTATAATGGGCAGAAAGCCTTCCCGCCCCTAGCTCTAGAGGGAGAAACGATCTATCCTCTGAGGCTGTTTGATATACAGATACTCTCGAAAAGCCAATACCTTTGCTCACAAGACACGTAGAAACCTGAGAGGCCGTGGAGAATGGTCTCTAATAGGTAACATCCCCATTTTATAGATGCGGAGATTGAGGCCAAGAAAGGTGCATGCAGTAACTCACTCAAGGTCTCACACGTGCTGAGTTAGTTATTGCCGTATAATGAATTGCCCCCAAACTCACTAGCCTAATACAGCAAATATTAACTGGTACCAGGTTCTGGTATGGCATGTCTGCTGAGATTGCAGTCGAGGTGCTGGCTAGGGTCCCCGTCATTTGAAGGTCTGACTGGGCCGGGATGATCTGCATCCGAGGGGCCTCACATGGGTATGGCCAGGAGGCCTCCATTCCCTTCCACCTGGATCTCTCTGTAGGACCGCTTGGATGGCCTCATGACACGGCAGCTGGTTTCCCCTGGAGCGGGCCATCTAGGAGAGCGGGAGAGCAAGGGACAGCCACATGCCTCTTGCGACTGTGTCCTGAGACTTCTGGTCGTTTCTGCCCCATTCTGTTCATTAGAAGAAAGTCACTAAGTGCAGTCTACCCTCAAGGGGTGGGGAATCAGACTCAACCTCCCTTTATATTCTTTCAAATATTCTTTTTTGTATTTGAAAGAATTTGTGGACTGTTTTTGAAACCACCACACCTAGTAAGTGGTGGGATTGGGATTCGAACCCCGGGCAGGTTGGCTCTGTCTGGTCTCCTCCCAAGGCCTGGATAGCAGAGCAGGAGAGCAAAGCAAAGTTGCTCCAGTCCCAAACCGGAGCGTTAAATCGTGGTGGGCTCTAATCTTATCTGTTTTCTGAGGCACCCCTACATTCTCCACTCAGCCCCTGGTTTGGGGCTGACAACCCCTTTCCGTTGGCCTAGGGGCTCTGCGGCTTGTGGCTCAGCCATGAACCTGTGGGGGTTTCCATGGGCCCAGACGCTCACAGCAGTGGTCACTGGGTGGCGCTAGGCTTCCACCTTTAATACCAGTCTTCCCAGGAGATCCTTCACCAGGATATCGTGCCCTCTTCCCCAAGTTTATCGGGTTGGTGCCAGTCTGCAGTCCTAGGATTGTAGGCTGGACCCTAAAACCATAGGAAACGGTGGTCAATAAAGGTAACCCCCTCTATGTTCTATAAATGACCTCATGGAGCCCCCATTCTCAGTAGGAAACCACAACAGCAAAACAACACAGCAAAACCCCAAACTGCATGCACGTGTACATACATACACTCGCACACTCACCTTGTCCACTCAAGGCACTTTTCTCCTTTAAGATGGCATCTTTCAGGTGAATGCGGAGTCTCTGGGGTAAAAGACCATTTCGAGGTTTCTCTCCCCATCCCCTTCCCCTTTCTACTGTTAAGCACCCACCTCTCCACCCCCCAAGGGAATCTGGTTGTGGGTGGAGCCTTCATCACCTCCTAGAAGCAGGGGTCTGACTCTGTGTGGTCCTCTCTTGCTGGCCTTGGGCCACGGGCCTCTGTCCTTGCTGTGTCTGTGGCTGAAATGTCCCCGTCTAGGGTGAGTCAGGAGGGGTTCCCTCCCCTTAGCACGGTGACCTCCTTCCCAGGTGTTCCACAGGTGCTGCTGGTCCCTGGGCTATGGCAGCTTCTCTCCTCTCCTGCCCTGCTGGGGGGGCTGTCTCAGGATTCCTAGTGGGAAGCGGGGCACAGGTGGTTTTTAGCATGCCTGCCCCTGCAAACATGGTGTTTCTACCTTCTCAGCTGGGTCTCTTCTTAGGAACCTGGAGAGTACCTTCCCTTATCTTGGCCCATGGGGCCCTTTCTCTAAACTCCTTTTACCAGGCAAAGGGCAGCCCCCTTCTCAGAGGAGAGACCTTTCCCTTATGTTAAATCGGCCTGCCTTCCTTGCAACATATGGATTATAGACCCTTCAAATGGGGCTCTTGATAGGTGTGGGTGGAGTTCCCTGGGCTGGGGCATTTACCACAACTGTGGGGGGAAGCTTTGGGAACGTGGGCATTTTTTTTCCCTCCTCCTCTCTGAACCAAGCCTGACTTTCAAGCCAGTTGCCTGGCTAAGGACCCAAAGTAATTTAACTTAAAACTCTGCTGAACAGAGAGCCCGTTGGCCTGGATGGGGTCTCTCATCCTCCTGAAGCAGTGGGTGCCCCAATTCAAAGTGTGCGAAGCCTCGTATCATTGGAGAACTCCAGATTAATGGGATTAAAAATAAATTTAATGTTAATAACCCCATCATATCTGTCGCTGGGTAGCCTGGGCCCCGGACTGTTGTCATGGCTTTCCTCTGAAATCTCTAATTATTCTCCTGGAAACTGGGCTTTCTCCGGCACTGACCCCATGGCACACCAGTGAATAAGCCTCCAGGGGGTCATGTGACATTGGTGGGAGAGTGGCTGTCTGGCTTAAAGGCAGCAGCAGTGTGTCCTGGGACTCCGCTCTCCTGAACCCTCTGACCCCTGAGCCATTATTCAGTTACTTGCTCAAGAGGGAGACGGTGTTGAGACACCGGGGACTCTGGCTTCTAAGCCAGGCCTCCTATGATAGGGTTTGGCTCTTGTCTCTCGCCCGCCACAGTTTCTCGCCTGGCTGCTGACCCCAAGGCTCTTTCTCCAGATCCAGTCCTCCAGACGGGTCTCAGGCCCCTGTTGTCCTCAGCAGCCCCTGCTGGAACCGGCTTTCTCTGGCCAAAGGTTCAGTATAGAAGTCAGAGTCAGAGTCCCAGCCTTTCCCTTTCCCCTTTTAGCTGGTTCTCCAGAGTCTGCAGGGAGGTGTCTTTAGGGCTCAGATCGTGGCCTCGGGGGCGGGGAGGGGGGTGGTATCTTGGCTTAGCCTTAATTGTGCAAACTTGCTGATAGATATCTAATTTTCATAGAGTCTCCTAGTGATTCTGCAGAGCAGTGAAGGCTGTTTGTATCTGACCAATACTAACATGTGTTGATGAGGATGTGGAGAAATTGGAACACTCCGCCTGGGTGTTTGAAGGGAAAGAAGGAGTGAAACCTAGCCCGTACAGGGTTTCTTTTTCGGGTGATGGTTGCACAACTCTGTGAATATACTGAAAACCATTACTTTACCCACCTTAGGTGAATGGTTTGGTATATGATACGTGATGTATATATGCGAGAGACCTTTCCCTTCTGTTAAATCCTCTTTCCTTGCAATAATGTGGAGATCTATATCATCTAAGAAATTACAGAAAAGAAGGATCAACTTACTTGGTAACAAGTAGCTTAAATTTGAGTTGTTAACACTCCCCTCCATTTAGATTTCCTTCAGGTTCCCAGACTGTTGCTTTTCCAAATCGAGTGGCCGTCAACCGGAGCTTTAGGCAAACGATGAGCACACGGGGGCTGTTCACCTCTTTGGTCTCTGCTCTTAGAACTGGTGCCTGGAGCTGCTGTGGAGTGTGGCAGGGCGCTGGCCCGCCTCACCCACCACCCCATCTGCATCCTGAAAGGAGGCTATGAACGCTTCTCGGCCATGTACCACTTCCTCCGGACACAGAAGATCATCTGGATGCCACAGGTGAGGCAGGGTACTGAGCCCAGGCAGCCTCGGATGGAAGCATGGTCTCCCCCTGGTTGACCAAGGGATGGGGAGCAGCATAGGGGAAAGAGGAGGTGGGCGACATGGGAATGATGGAAGGGATGGAGACTGTGCTTGGGAAATGGACCTGGGGCAGCCAGGAGGTCCAGACCACGAAGGTGAATTTCTCATCGCTGGATTCAGGCCAGAGTCAGCACGGTGGTGAAGAGGTGGGGCCCGTCCAGAGGGCAGGGGTCCCAGGGGGAGCTCTGGATGGCAGGCTGTCATCAAAGATAGGCAGAGGCGCCACAATTTGAGGCTGCCTGTCCGTTCTCAGCTGTCTGGACCCACAAGCCCAGAGGACACAAAAAGGACAAGCTAGCATCCTGCCTGTGAGGAGTTCTTGGCTAGCGGGAGAGACAAGGGGCACTCTGGGTGAGGTGAGGCTCCTCCTGGAGCCAGACCAGAAGGAGGAGGAGGAACTTGCGAGGAAGAGAGGTGGGTGGAGGGTGGCTGAGGCAGGCACGGGGTGGCTATGGGGTGGCTATGACCGACAGGCAGGGGCTGGTCCCTGGAGGGCATCATACAGCAGGGGGCTTATTGAAGAGTCTGAATGCAGTGGGATGTAGACATGCAGGGGCTTCATTCTTTCTACTAATTACCTTTGGCTCTTTGCCCTTAGCAGCCTCTTGGGCACATTCTAGAAATTCTGACTACTTTTAAGCTAATCATAAAATGATGGGGGAAATGTGTGTATCAACTGGATCTTTCAGAGATACAGAATGAAATATTTATGGGGTAAAACAATATGACGTCTGGCATTTCAGAATAATCTGGGGTGTGTTGGGAAGTGGGTGAGGATAGAGCTGAAATAAACTGACCATTAGTTGATGATGTTTGCAAATGGGTGATCAACCCAGGCATTTATTATGCTATTCTCTCTCCTTTTGCATATTTTTAAAATAATTTCTTAAAAGCGAAGAAAAGCGATCAGGCCAGTACAAGCGAGGCTAGTGTAACCTTCCAATCTCAGATCTGAATTAAGTCTCATCTATTCCCATCCCCCAGAGCTGGGCAGTCTTCAGTTTGCTGGCGTGGGAGTAGCCAGGGGTGTGGGTTGGCTGCAGGGACCTCTCCTCTCTTCCTTGCTCCTGGGCCTGTGACTTCAGTCCTGGGGGTTCAAGGTGGGGCCTGTCTTGTGGGACTGGCTGCCCGTCAGTGGTGCGGCCAGGCCTTCTCACTCTGTTCCAGCCCGGTTCTGTATGTTGCTGGTGGCCTTAGCTGCTGGTTTCCTTGGGGCCCGGTTTAGGGGCCCCATCCGCTACTAAGAATCTTCCAAAGAAAACCATCTGAGACTTCCTCCCAGGAGCACCCCCAATTCCTTGTTTTACTTTGGCAGTCCATGACTCCCTGACCACATCTGCACTCCTTCACACTATGATTTTCAGCTCCACTGGTGTCCCCTCAGTCTCCCCATCCTGCCAGGCACTGCTCACTCCTAGAGGAGCACCCCTTACTGGCTTTTCCTTGTGCAAAATAAGTATTTCTCTGCAAACCTCACCTGGCTGGTAACTCACTTCCTTCCCTTTGGAAAACAAGCTTTAGTAAGGTTCAGTAACCTGTAAGTAAGTTCATCAGGAGGAACAGCACATATTTAAATGTACATTTTGGTCAGTGTTGACATGTGTACACACCTGAGACCTGCCCTCACCCCATCTTAGGTAGATTGGGAAGAGGGGTGCATGGTGGCTGGTGGCAGCTAGCAGGGTTCTGCCCGAGGTGTCTGTGGCCCTCCTTAGAGTGTAGGCACCTAGTATTTGTCGCTCCCTGCTTTGGGGCTTTTGTTAGTAGTTCAGGGGCATGAGTGAAAGCCCCACTCCCCTCCTGCTATGTGCTCTGAGACACTGGAAAGCAGGGGTGTCCCTGCTGCTCCCCAAGGAACTCCTTCTAGGAGGGCGGGTGGTGGCGCTGAACGTGGCCTTTAGACAGAGCGACTTCTCATTTCCTCTGCTTTAAACGTGGCCTCCCTTAAATGAGATTTCGCTTGGAGCAAAAGGTTTGGGGACCAAAACGTGAAGCCCACACCAGAGAGAGATGATGGTGAGCTCCGGGGTGCCTGGTGCTGTCAGATTGCACTTGAGAAAGTTCACCAGTGGTCGTGGTGTGGAAAGCAGACCCGTGGGGGCTGCCAGGGGGGTCTGGGGAAGGCGGAAGGCCGCCATGGTGAGGAGAGGACAGATTCAGGAAACACTTGGGTAGTGGCACTGATTAGACACAGGGAGGGGTGGGGGGGTGAGGGCAGGACATGCGGGGAGGGAGGAGCCTGGAATTAGTGCCCTGGTTCCCTGTGTGGGTGACAGGTGGGGGACATGGGAGGCAGAGGCAGCGTGGGGGAGGGCAGCGGGCTCGGTTTGGACATCCTTATGGATGTGGGTGTGAAAATCATGGCATCTAGAATTAACATGCGCTTGCTCTTACCAGCCTGGTGTGTTTTTCCCTGCCACACAGCCATAGGAAAGGAAGCTGGTTTGAAAGCAGCAGGAAGAGTTGATAGATCTGTGTCGGGTGTTCAGTGAGATTTTCCGGATGAAACTAGGAGGGTGTCCTTTGGCTCCAGCAAGCTGAGCATCCTGGGTGTGGTCAGGCCGAGCTCTGGGGAAGCTTTGGATCCTATCGAGCAGGCCTGTCTGCAGGTAGAAGGGTCCTGCGTCCCTTTCGCACACTTGAGCATCGGCTTGGCTTGCTGTCTGCTCTTTGAGAAAGGCTTTTTGAGGCTGACAGCTTGGGAAGGATGTAGGCTTGCAGTGGGCTCACTGGGAGGGGAGATGTGCTAAGGCCAGAAGGCTCTGAAGCCTCTGGACAGCCAAAGTAGCCTGCAGTGCTTATTTCTGAGTTCGACTTGGAGCCAGAGGAATTTTGGAACTAGGTTTGACCTTTGAAATTACATAGGTCAGCATTTCCCGTGGAACACTCACACAAGAAAGGGACCTCCAAACAGATCATGTTGGAAACAACAGTTTATACAACGTGAGTGTGGTTTTTGTTTTCTTGAGGCTATGCTTAGCTTTTGTACTAAATATCACGAGTGATTTTCAACCCATGCCAATAATAAACAAGTAGCCACTGTGTTATGATAAACATCTGGGCTACAAAGTCGGCCCGAGGAACCAGTAGGAAGGTTTTTAGCAGTTCCTCGGAGGTACGCTTTGAGAATAGTCTTAGCCTGCCATGCTTTACTGGTTGTTTCCCAACTAGTTTGTAAATTATTATATGATGACAATTTTTTCTAACCACCTGGTTGACACTCATAATCTTTCCTTGGAACAATCAGATTTTGTAAATTTTCCCCTTCAGTTTTATTGAGATATAATTGACATATAACATATATAAGTTTAAGGTGTACAGTGTATTGATTTGATACATCTAGAGTATATTGTGAAATGATCACCAAATAGGGTTAATGAACCTATCCATCACCTCACCTAATTACCATTTTTTGTGTGTGGTGGTAAGAACATTTAAGATCTACTTTCCCCACAACTTTCAAATATATAACACAGTATTAACTAAAGTCCCCATGAACTTGTGCCTCTTTATGTCTGGAAGTTTTTATCCTTTTGATGAACATCTCCCATTTCCCCCACTCCCCAGCCCCTGGCAACCACTGTTCTACTCTCTGTTTCTATGAATTTGGCCTTTTCAGACTCCACATATAAGTGAGATCATGCAGTAGTTGTCTTTCTCTGTCTGACTTACGGGCATGCCCTGAAAATATTGTGGATCTGGTTCCAGACCACTACAATAAAGCAAATATTGTAATAAAGCAAGGCAAATGAATTCTTTGCTGTGCATAAAAGTTATGTTTATACTGTAGTGTGTTAACTGGGCAATAGCATTACGTCTAAAAAAAATAGACATACCCCCCCCCTTTTTTTTAAAGATTTTATTTATTTGACAGAGAGCCAGAGAGAATGAGCACGAGTCAGGTGAAGGGCAGAGGGAGAAGCAGACTCCCTGCCAAGCAGGGAGCCTGATGCAGGGCTGAATCCTGGGACTCCAGGATCATAACCTGAGTTGAAGGCAGACGCTTAACCGACTGAGCCACCCAGGCGCCCCAATGGTGGACATACCTTAATTAAAAATACTTTGTTACTGAAAAATATTAACCATCATCTGAACTTTCAGTGGGTCATAATCACTGATCACAGATCCCCATAATACATATAATAATAATGAGAAGGTTGGAAATTTTGTAAGAATGACCAAAATGTGACAGAGACACGAAGGGAGCAAATGCTGTTGAAAAACGTCACTGATTGACTTGCCCGATGCAGCGTCGCCACAAATGTTCAATCTGTAAAAATTGCAGTATCTCTGAAACAAAATAAAATGAAGCACGATAGGATGAGGTATTCCTGTATTTCACTTAGAGTAATGCCCTCAAGCTCACAAATGGCAGGATGTCCTTCTTTCTCATGACTGAATAATATCCCATTCCGTATACATGCCACATTTTTCTTTATCTGTTCATCTGTCAATGGACAGTTAGGTTGTTTCTATGTCTTGGCTACTGTGAATATTGCTGTAAGGAACATGGCAGATACTCCTGCAACATCGTGATTTTATTTCCTTTGGATATATAACAAGAAGTGGGATGGCTGGATCGTATGGTAGTTTTATTTGTAAGTTTTTTGAAAAAACTCCATACTGTTTTCCATAGTGGCTATAGTTAGCGGATTTCTTTGCTGCTGTTTACTTCTCCGGCCTTTACTTGGTAATGTACGTTGTGAATTTCTGAGACAGGGATATCCTAGGTACTGCTTCCCATATGTACTTGATTCTCTAAATCCTTTTTTTCACAGTGCGTTGCGAGGGACCACTGTTTTCTAGGACACACTTTGGGGGAATGTAGGAATCATCTTCCTCTTTGTGTCTTTGTTTTTCAAAGAAACCGCAATTTTTCATATCTTGACTTTGGACCTGGAATTCCAGTGAGCTCCCATTTAAGTGGTGTCCTGTCCTCCCTACCTGTCTACATCAGAACTCATCAGAATTTATTTCCTAATGACAAATAGGCTCTCTGTGAGTAGTTTTAGTGGTTTTTTTCTTTTAAGAAGGTGTTAAAATTCTGGTGGCCTCCAAAAATATAATACACTTATAATTGTGTTATTAATAAGATAATTATAATATATAATTATATAATAAAAGGGCTGTCCCATCAATGATAATATAATATATATTATATTATATAATATAATACAATTATAATATGTAATAATATAAGGCTTCCCACCCTCCCCCTCCCCCTACTGGACACACTCTGGATTTATGCAGTTCTGCATCAAGGGGTTTCAGATGCCAATCTTTGTGCACCCAGCAAAGTGCACACAGGTGCCATGGGGGGTAAGTGGGATGTCCACGTTCAGATGCAGCATACTGTCCCATGGCTCAGTGGCTCCGTCCTGTTACTATCAGCCTTCTGACTCCTCATGCAAGTCAGTCTCATTCATTATTCTGGATTATCTTTCTAATGCTGAGCCACATTTCAAGAACCAGAAAACAAAAACAAAAAACAAAAAATCCAACAACAAAAACCAAAAACAGTTTCTTCCCTGGGGAAAGAATATTTTGTTCTATGACATACAGCATATGTATTCTATACAGCAGCCTTTCTCCTTCCTTTCCCTCAGGAACTGGATGCCTTTCAGCCCTACCCTGTTGAAATTATGCCAGGCAAGATCTACCTGGGCAATTTCAGGCAAGCCTGTGACCCGAAAATTCAGAAGGATTTGAAAATCAAAGCACATGTCAATGTCTCCATGGAGACAGGGCCATTGTGAGTAGAAATACTATTGATTTTTTTTTAATTAAGCATTTATATAAGATTCCTAGTGCCATGCATTTATAGAGCTGAAAGGGCCTTAGAAATCAACACACACTGGAATAGGCTCTGTACTTACCTTCAGCTATTCCTGGTTTGTAGTCTATTTCCTGGCTTGGCCGTGGCATCCTGTGCCACTGAGACCCAATACTTGCCCTTCAGATCTTACCAAAAGGAATGCTTTCCTAGTATTTAACATTATGGTACAGAGTATTCCATTTTACCCTCCTTCTCAGGCCCTCTGAGAAGTGACCCCTGTCTTAGCCCATTGGGGCTGCTATAGCAGAATACCATAGACCAGTGGTTCATAAACAAAATACATTTCTTTCTCATGGGTGTGCAGGCTGGGAAAATCCAAGCTCAAGTCACCAGCAGACTCAGTGTCCAGTGAGAGCCTGCTTTCTGGCTCATAGACAGCCCTATTTTTACTGCGTCCTCTCATGGCAGAAGATCACCTTCTGGCCCCTCTTTTACAAGGGCATTAATCCCATCTCTTAGGGCTCCACCCCCATGACCCAGTTTACAATCCCACTTTACACAACCCCCAAATCCCAGACAAAACCTTAAAACAGGGGTTTCCAGACAATGGCCAATAGGCAGCATAGGACATTGATTCCTGAGAGGAGGGAAAAAAAAAACAACAAGATGAGCCCCTCAGTTGACCCTGCTTATTAGTAGGAGACTGTTTGCAGGTCATAGTACAGGAAGCAGGCCAAGACAGATCCTGTCATTCCTTCTGAGTTGAGCGTATAGAGTTGAAAAGTCAGAGAGGTCAAGTTGGCTGGAATTTGCAGGAGAGAGTAGCATGGAGAATAGAGAATGGAGAGCTGAATATAAAGAAAAAGCTCTTAACATCTGCAGAGTCCCCCCCCCCCCGCCGAGTCTTCAGCTGAGTACTGATAAGCACGTACATGTGAGGAAACGAGTCAAGGCTGGGAGAAAAACCAGTAGAAATGAGCACACAGTACAACCCCCAGAGATCATGTAGGGCCAAGAGTAGTTTGCATTTCCAATCAGAGTAGACAAAGCTCACAGCATACTGGGCCTCAAAGAGGGCACTGAGAAAAGTGTTGCTTCAGTTGTGAGGAAAAACTAGCTCTAGGCTAGGGATGAGAGTGTCTGAGGTGAAACATACATTGGATGGATTTAAAGGCAGATTAAACACTGCAGAACAAAAGATTGGTGAATTTGAAGACACATTGGTAGAAAGTGTCCAACATGGAACCCAGGGAAGAAAAAGATTAAAGAAAGAAAGACCAGAACAGAAACATGTATAAATTGGAATCTCCAAAGAAGAGGAAAGTGGAAAGACAGAAAACATATTTAAAGAAGTAACAGCCAAAATTTTTTTTCTAAATTTGATAAAAACCATAAAGTTTATCACCAGAAATAATTATGTAGATAAATATAAAACACTTTCGCTGTCACTTTTATATCTCTTCAAAACATAATTTATCACATGGGCTGCCTGGGTGCCTCTGTCGGTTAAAGCATCTGACTCCTGATTTTGACTCAGGTCGTGATCTCAGGTTCATGAGATTGAGCCCTGTGTTGGGCTTGTGCTGGGCCTAGAGCCTGCTTAAGATTCTCTCTCTCCCTCTCCCTCTGCCCCCCACCCTCTAAAACAACAAAAACAAACAAGACAAAAAACGAAAAAAAAAATTGATCACAGAAAAAATAGTAACAATGTATTTTGAGATTACAACATATGTAGAAGTAACATGTATGCCCATAGTTTACTAAGGCGGGAAGAGGCAGAATGGAAGTATACACTTGGAAGATTCTTACTCTATTTACATGAAGTGTTATAATGTAATAAAAAGTTAAAAAAAAACTTTTTTTTAATTAAAAACATTTTTAAGTAACCTCTATACCCAGTGTGGGGCTTGAACTCACAACCCCAAGACCAAGAGTCACATGCTCTACTGACTGAGCCAGCCAGGCGCTCCACGGAAGATGTTATTTTAAATTACCTGAATAAACAGAGGATGTACTGTGGTTATCGATTAGAAGCATCCATTTTGTAAAGATCTTGGTTCTTGTCCAATTGATCTATAGATTCAATGTAATGCCCATAAAATTCCAATAGGTTTTAGAGTAATTCTAAAATTTATATGGAAATGCAAAGGCCAAAAATAGCTGAATATCAAAGAACAACAAACAGGAAACTTGCTTGACCAGATACCAAGTCTTAAAAAACAAGAAAGGCATTGTGATATTGGTACAGGATAGAAGAATACACCAATGGAGCAGAATAGAGTCCAAGCAGACCCATGCCTATACAGACGCTTGAATTTTGACAAAGATTTTCTCCTATGTTTTCTGCTAAAAGTTTTATGGTTTTAACTTTAAGAATTTGTGATCCATTTTGAAATAATCCTTGCATATGGTGCCAGATGTAGAAGATTTTCCATAGGGAAGCCATTATTTGTTGGGGGAAAAAAAAGATCCTTTCCCTTTGATTGATTAGATACCTTTGTTGGAAATCAGTTGACCATATGTGTGTGGTATTATAACTGGATTTTTAATTCTTTTTTATTGGCCTGCGTTTTTCTTTATATCTATCTGTATTTTTGACTACTATAGCTTTATAATAAATTGTGAAGTCAGGTAGAGCCAGTCCTCCCCTTTTGTTCTTTTTCAAACTTGTCTCCTTTGCATTTCCAATAAATTTTGGAATCACCTTGTAGGTCTCTACAAAAAGCCTGCTGGAATTTTGACTGGGATAGAATTGAATCCATAGGCAAGTCTGGGGAGAACTGACATCTTACCAATGTTGAGTCTCCTGATCATGAACAGGGTCTATCCCTCCATTTACTTTGCTCTTTCATTTCTCTAAAAAATGTTTTATAGTTTCCAGTGTACAGGTCTTGCACATCTTATGTCAGATTTCTTCTCAAGTATTTGGTATTTTTGAGGTGGTTATAAATGGTATTTTTAAAATTTCACTTTCTGATTGTTCGTTGCTAGTGTATAGAAATGCAGTTGATTTTTATATAGTAACCTTGTCTCTTTCCACCTTCTCCATCTAGATGCCTCCTACATTGTGAAGCTTTTCCCAGCTCCCTCAACTTCTCCCTGCCCTTCCTCTCCAGTATCACATGCAGGTCTTTATCCCCAAATCTAGCCAGTTGGATTGGGGTTATTTGTTTCTGTGTCTGCCTCCCCCATCAGACTGGGAGCTCCTTGAAGCTGGGAGAGGCCGGCCCTCTTTGGTTCAGCTTCTGTCCACTAGGGTCCAGCCCAAGGTCTGGCACACAATAGGCATTGAGGAAAGAATGAATAGATGGATGGATGGATAGATGGGGGAGGGGGAGAGAGAGAGAGAGACAGAGAAATGGGGAAGAAAGGATGGATGGACAGATGGAGGGATGGGCATTGTGCTTGATCTGCTGAAACTAAACCAGCCTCTCTTTATTTCTGAATCTACTGCAGCTTCCTGCATGCTACAGTGGTCTACATGCTGCCCAATGTCATCAGTAGACCACAGTCTTCATAATTAACATTGCCCAAGTACTTAATGCATGCCAAATGTTTTGCAAGCTCCTTGCGGGCATCTTCTACCTCCTGTCCGTCCCCTCTCTGCCTTGTTTGGGATGTTCTAGCCACTCTTACCTCTCTGTTGTTTCTCAAGTCCATTAAACATACTGCCTCTCAGCACCTTTGCACTTGTGTTCTCCCCTACCCAGAACCCTCTTTCCTCAGATGGCTGCCTGGCTTGTTCCGTTACCTCCTTGAAGCCTCTGCTCAAAGCCTTCGCTGACCACTGTGTCTCAGACAGCCACCCGCCCCACTCCACTCTCCATCTCTCTTACCTGGCTTTCTCCATTTAACGTAGCAGGCTCATTCTCCAAGCTCATTACATATTCCTGCCCATCCTCATCTGACTTTCCCCACCATACTCTAGGAAAGTACCATGAGTGGTTAATGATAATGATGTCACATTTATTGAGCATTTACTATGTGCCAAGCAGATTGCCAAATGCTTTCCATAGATGAACTGACTTAATCTGCACAACACCCCCATGAAGCGGGTGCTTGTTTTCTGAGACAGGCTCAGTTATTTGCCACCTCTCCCTGAAGCCCGCTCAGCATCGCTGCAATGTGGTCCCGCTGCTGTGCACGAGGCTCATTCCAGGGGGGCTGTGTGCCAGTCTGCCTGATTTCCTGGGCTTTCCTCTGTTTAGTTTTGTAGATGACAGTGACAAACTTCTGCACATCAAGATTGAAGATTCCCTGGAAGCCAACATTTTCCCCTTTTTACGGCACCTCTGTCACTTCCTTGGTAAGGAGCAATCTCTGATCAGGCAGCGGTTGGCCTGTGCCCAGGGGCCAGAGGGGCTGTGGCACCTTGTCTACACGGCTGTTCCTGATCAGGACAGCCAGCACTGAAGAGAGGAAGGGCAGGGCCCAGCACAAGCCCAGCCAGGGGTGGCCAAGCCCCAGGACAAGCTCAGCCCTCAGGAGCCCTCGGCCATGTGGACAGCCACACATTTACCTCGGGGGACATGGGGCCAAATAAGAGCACCAGATTGTCAATTGAGTACCCCATGCTGTGGCCCTGGCTGACCCGCTAGGACCTCTGGGGGCTGGCCAAGCCCCAGTCCTGGCCTCGCTGAGCCTCTTGGGCAATGGGCGGGTTGACCCACCGTGGGTGCAGGCGTTCAGGGACGCCTGCTCTGGGCTGGGCTCTGGGGACCCACAGGCGAATCATGCTCCATCTCTTCCCTACTGTCTGGTCTGCGGGGTGGGGTGGAAGGAAAACTCTGGAACCTCCCGGCCCTGACTTCCATGATCCCTGGTTGTGTGCACAGCGCCCCTTCGGCTCTCCCACCACACATGGCAGTGACTGCTCATTGAAGGTGGAATTTTCAGTCATTCCGGGGCCAGGATTGCCCAAGGAGAGCAAGATGGGCTGGAGAGAGGGAGGTCGAGTCGGGTCCGCACCAATGCAGCCCCAGCTTGAGGGGCTGCACAGGAGGCTGGAAGATGACGTGTTGGCCCAAACATCCCTTATTTGCCCAAGAGGTTGCAACTATCACTTGACTAGTATCTGAGATTGCGACTTGCCACATGTCCGGCCACGGGATGGCAGAGCCCTGTGGCACAGAGGGCCCCTATCCAGCCCTACCTTGCTGGGTGGCTCTGGGCCAGTCCTTAACTGCTCTGTACCTCTGTTTCCTTGTCCATACGATGAGGCACTTGGCCTTCATCATCTCGGGGTCCTCCTCCAGTGCTGACAGTCTGTGATTTCACGTTTGATATGTTTATCTCCAGTTCTTTTTTTTTTTTTTTTAAGATTTTATTTATTTTTGAGAGCAAGAGCGAGAGAGTGCACAAGTTGGGGTCGGGGGAAGGACAGAGGGAGAAGCAGGCTCTGAGCCCAATGTGGGTCTCGATCCCAGGACCCTGGGACCATGACCCAAGCCGAAGGCAGACACCCAACCGACTGAGCCACCCAGGTGCCCTGATACGTTTATCTCCAGTTCTCAGGGGTGACCGGACTAGCCTAGGAAGCCAGCTTAGATTTCCTGCCATCTCTGTCGGCATCCAAGTGGCTGGGAGTCGGGTGAGGGGAGCATCTTCTCATCCCACCCGGGGAGGCCAACTGGTAGTAGAGCTTCCTGGGCTGGCAGCCTGGGGAGCCAAAAAAAGGCCTTTGCAGGGTAATGCTGGACACCCAATGTGATTCTCTTGGACTGCCAGTGAGGTCTGAGGGTCCCTGTTTGCCAGGTGACAAAACGGTGTCCTAGAGAGGTCACGGGACTAGCCCAGGACATGGTGGGCTGGGTCCGAACTCACTCCTGGACCGTGGGCCCACTAAAGCCAGCAGCTCACATCCATGTGCCCCACTGCCCCCTCCCCACACCTTTCCTTCCTCTTGCAGAAATCCACCTCCAGCTTGGCTCGGTCATCCTGGTCTTTTCCACCCTGGGCATCAGTCGCAGCTGTGCAGCCACCATGGCCTTCCTCATGCACTGGAAGGAGCAGACCTTGAAGGTATGCATTGCCCGGTCAAGGCTCAGACTGCAGCTACCTCCAGCAGGCAGGGTCGGAGCTGGACCTGGGAGGAAGGGGGCCCTAACTGGGGGGTGGGAGGAGAAGGATCTGGAAAGGGAACTCCCAAGTCCAGTGCTTCACCCAGCATACCACACCCAAGGGCAAGGTCCCAAAGATCTGGGTCAGAGGCTGAGGCTGTTGCATGGCCTATGGGACAGGCCCAGGGACTCAGGCTGGGCAAGGCCACGGCCAGCAGCACCATCTGCGTGTCCCCCTCTGCTATCAGTCTCTCTACCAGCATTCATTCAGGCTTCTCATTGGAGGTGCATTTTGGTTATTGCTTGGAGCCAGAGAACTATGACCCTGTCAGGGCTCCAAGGGCACCTACTCCAACAGTCTTGACCGGGACTGGAGAAGGGGGCGGAGACTTGTCACCACAAACCCTGTTCGACCAGCACTTGTGACACCGAGGGCAGTGCCTTCCCACAGCACGAGGAGATGGCGGCCTTCCCCGAGGGGAGGCACAGCTTTTGCATGACTTCAGAGGGCTTCGGTGGGACCCAAAAAGCTCCCAAGTATGCCCAGGGCTGTGCTCGAAGGAAGGGGGGAGGGTCAGAGAATGACCATGGTCAGAGCCCATTGCCAGCGGTTTGGGATGTTGGCCCCACGTGCTCTTTGGAGGTGAAATTGCCAGCTAGAAAGAGTCTCGGGTAGCCAGCAGTTCCACCTGTAGGAGTGGAAGCCAGGGCTCAAATGTTTGTGGGGCCGTGTTCGGAGCAGTATTACTCAACCATAGCCAACAGGTGGGAGTAACCCATCTGTCCATCGACAGATGAAAGGATAGTAAACGAATGGTCTGTCCACACAATGGACTGTTACTCAGCCTTGCCAAGGAAGGACATTTTGACACCTGCTGCCGCATGGATGAACCCGGAGGACATTATGCTGCGGGAATAGGGAGTTGTTTCATGGATGTCGAAGTTCTGGAGATGGACAGTGTTGATGGTCATACAACATGGTGAATGTACTTCTTGCCATTGAACCGGACCTCCAAACATGGTGAAAATGGGAAGTTCTCTGTTACGTCTGTTTTACCACAATTGAAAAAGAAAAGTGTCTGGAGGCAGAATCACGGGGCCTGGAGCGAGAGGCCCAGACCCCTGTTCTCTCACCCTGTGCAAGGTGAATTGTCAGGGATCCTTGCCCGCTTGAGTATTTTGGGGTGTGCTGGGGGGAAGGGGGTGAAGTTTCTCATAAATCTGGGGAGGGAGGCCTCTGCCGTTGCTCCTATAGAGATGTCTCTCCAGCCACCTTCCCAGGAATGGGCTCAGGCCTGCAAGGAACCTTCTTCGCTGCCTTGTTGAGCTGGAACATAGAGGAAGAGAAGACGGGGAGCTGGGGGAAGGCAGGCCGAGCCCTCTGCCTGCAGGGGGCGTTACGGGACTTGAGGTCCCCTGGAGCTTGCATGGGGCCATTTGGAGACCTGGCCTGTGGTGGTCCTGGCTTCCTGGTCGCTCACAGTGAGGTTTGGGCACAAAAAGGTTGATAGCCTTGCGACTCTGATGTTTCGTGATGCTTCCCAGCCCTGACCAGCAAGTCACAGTCGTCTCTTTGTTCGTATCACAGGCAGATGACAAGCTGCTTCCCCAGCTGGCTGGGGGGAGAACAGAGAGAGGACTCCCACCTAGCTCCTCTGAGTTCTCCAGCAGTGAGGGCCAGGCCCCCTCGGCGACGGGGCACATGTAGGCCCACACCCTGACCTTTACTGGCCCCTGCATGACTCCAGCAGGGAGGGTGAGGCCTGTCTGTGTGTAGCTGTCCCTGTCAGTGGTCAGTGGGTGGACAGGTGCTTGGGCCCCTGAGGGCCAGATTGCCCTTGCTCTCGGCAGAAGCCCTAGGGCTCCCATCCTGGGGCAGCAATCTCTGTCTCATGTACAGGGAAGTCCTGTTGCTGGGCATTGTGTCCTGAGATGCCATCTAGATAAGTCTCGGCAAAAGCAGCTGTGGGCAGGAAGGACTGCCACTGGGACCTTGCTGGGTCCTTTCCAGACTGAGTCAGTCCTGTGTGGTCGTTAGGTTTTCTTGCTACCAAGCAATGCCCTGGATTGCTGATAGAGGTTGACCTGGGCTCAGCTCTGCTGCTGCCTGGGGTCCAGAGAGACATTCCCTCATCCCATTGTCTTTGTGGTCCTGGGGTCCTCCTCCGCGCATTGGGGCAGCTGTGCCCCTGGCTGTTGTCAACGGTGATGGTCGGAGCTCATGGGACTGGCAAAAGGGTGTGGGCCACTCTTGGGCAATAGACTGCTTCCTGGGGCTTATGGTCCCAACTCAGTCCCTTGGGGGTACCAAGACCAGGAATGGGAAGTTGAGGAGTGAACTGGGAAGAATCTGGTACCCAGGGCCACCCTGTCTGTCCTTGGCTTTCAAAGCTTTGGCACAAGGTCGTATGGGCTCCCAGAGCCAGCGAGCCCTTAAGAAACCTATTTCAGTTCCTTTAAACTACTGGGAGTAACTTTGCCCCTGCTTGTGTTCCCTCTCTCACTGTGTCTCTCTCTGTCAAGTAAACAAATGACATCTTTTTTTTTTTTTTTTAAAGATTTTGTTTATTTATTTGAGAGAGAGAGAATGAGAGATAG